AATCAACTCCCTACCTATGACCACTTAAAAGTCTTTGGCTGTCTATGTTTTCCCTGGCTAAGGCCTCAAGCACCCCACAAACTAACACCACGTTCAACACCTTGCCTTTTCCTTGGTTATTCACCCTCTCACGAAGGCTATTGCTGTTTTAACCTCCAAACTCAAAAGATCCACATTTCCCGCTATGTTATGTTTCATGAGTCCACCTTTCTCTTTGTCAATTCCACCACAAAACAACCTCTACCAACTTCCCTACCACCCTTACTGCTAATCCTACAATCACAATCCACAATTTCACATACTATCAAACCCACACCTGATCCAAACTTACTACCGTTTCCCTCAACTCCCTATTATAACCGCACATTACATCTTCTACTTCTCCAATTTCTTCACAAACATCCTCATCCATATCCTCCTCCACCACAAGCCCTCCACCACCACCTCTCACTCATACACACCCCATGGTTACACGGGCTCAAACGGGTCACCTCAAACCGAAAACAATTTTTACATTAACCACTCAACTTCCCTCCTCTTCAACTCCCACTTGTTACACTCAGGCCTCCAAATTTCCACACTGGCGACAAGCAATGTCAACTGAATTTCTAGCCCTCCAACGCCAAGCTACTTGGTCACTAGTACCACCTTTTATTGATCAACCCATCCTAGGATGCAAATGGACCTACAAAATCAAACTCAAACCTGATGGTTCACTTGAACGATACAAAGCCAGACTTGTTGCGCAAGGCTTAAAGCAACAACATGGTATCAATTATCATGAGACATCAAACATCACCACCATCCGGGTCCTCCTTGTTGTTGCTTTACACAATCATTGGCCAGTTCGTCAACTTGATGTATCTAATGCATTTCTTCATGGCATCTTGGATGAAATAGTATATATGACTCAACCCAAAGGTTTTATTGATCAACGTTATCCCCACTATGTATATAAACTTCACAAAGCCATATATGACCTCAAACAAGCTCCATGTCAATGGTTTTATACTTTTTCCACCTGATTATCCAAAAACTTCTACTTCAGCTCATCAGACCCATCTCTTCTCATTTATTCATCTAAGAACACCCACGTATTTCTCCTTCTCTACGTTGATGATATTCTCATTACTAGCAACAACACCACTTTCCTATCAAATCTTCTATCAGATTTACAGCAGAAATTCCTTCTTAAAGACCTTGGTAATATTTTCTTATTCCTTGGCATACAAGTTTCCACTCAAGAAGATGCTTATATTTTACATCAAACTAAATATGCAACTGATCTTCTTCAAAAATCTGGACTCATGGATTGCAAGCCGGCTGTCACGCCTCTATCACAAAAACCTACACATGCTGCTCACTCTGATCAGCCTTATGATAATCCAACATTTTATCGCCAAATAGTTGGATCACTACAATATTTAAGAATCACACGTCCAGACATCGCATTCGCTACTAATCAGTTGTGCCAACACATGCATTATCCCCTTCAAAAACACTACCAGCAAATGAAAAGATTACTCAGATATATAAAAGGCACAATATATCTTGACTTACCAATTCAACAAGGAGATCTCTCATTACATTCCTACTCGGACTCTGATTGGGCTTCTGATCCTTCAGACAGAAAATCCACTACAGGATTTTGCTCATTTATAGGGAAAACACTCATATCTTGGAGCTTTAAGAAACAACCAACCGTAGCCAGATCGTCGACTGAAGCATAATATAGAGACTTAGCTACAACAGCGTCAGACATTGTTTGGCTCCGTAGATTACTTCACAACTTCAACATTCCATCTTCAAATCCCACACCTCTTCACTGTTACAATATTTCAGCCATGTCCCTAGCTAATAATCCTGTTTTTCATGCTTGCACGAAGCATATAGAGATTGGCTACCATTTTATTCAAGATAGGATCAAATTCAAAGAAATTGAAGTTCATCACATAGACACCAAAGATCAAATTGCTGATATTTTCACAAAAGCTCTCTCGCCAATTCAGTTCTATCATCTACGAAACAAATTGACTCTCCTATATGTGGATCCTCAATTTGAGGGGAGCTGATAAGCAGTTAAAACATAGGCATGGATCACCTCTGTCAAGTTCGGTTACCATACTCTCAGCCAACCGCAAGCACTCTCCCACGTTAGGCTACCATGTTCTCAAACTTTTATTTGGTCCGGTGAACGCACGCAACTCTACGTTCGGCCGCCAGTAGAATAGCGCCACGCATTTTCATTATTTACCGGCGCCCCGACAATCCGACCCGAAACGTACGCAAGATTGCTCGATATTGCTAGGTATTGGTTGATTTTGCTCGGCAATAACCAATACCGAGTAATACCGAGCAAATACCGAGTTGTACCAAGTTTTTTCTAGCAATACCGAGCAAATACCTAGCAAATCCCTAGCAATACCGAGCAAATCCTGAGCAAATACTGAGTTGTAAAAAAAACTCGGTACAACTCGGTATTTGCATGGTATTGGTCTTCACAGAGCGGTATTTCTCATTTTTGCAAAGCAATACCGAGCAAATACCGAGCAATACCGAGAAAATCGCGAACATAGCATTCCCGGGTTCTGCTCCTGGTCAAGTCGTTGGGCCGCGCGGTAAAGAATAAGAACACGTGGCGACATGTTATTGGCGGCCGAACGTAGCTCTACGTCCGGTCAGAGGACGTAATAATTGTTCCATGTTCTCAGCCAACTGCAAGCATTCTCTTCTCTACAGTGATCTCAGCCTTCAATCTACAACTGGATCATCATAGACGTTAAAACCTCTGTTATGCTGCATTAACTTTTGTTATATATATGCAATTCAATCTAATGTAAAGTGGCATACAATAGTAATACAATTCTACAGATTTCTGTATTGTTCTCTCTCTTGCATTTCTCTGTTACCATTCTATTTTCTCTTCAAATCCTAATTAATATTCTACTAAAAATAACTCACATAGATTCCATCCTGAATTGTTAACATAGCAAAATTTACTTGTGTTTTATGCGTTTATCTTCCTTCTACTTTATTTATTCTCAGCAATTTAATTCTGTCTCTTTTAATTCCCATTAAGCTACCAATATTTCTACAGCATATTCCTTTGGTAATTCAATGGAATTAAAAAAAAAAAGTTACTTCAAAAAGAAAAACCTGCTTCACGATCTTCTGAATCAGATCTGAAGTGTTCTTGTTCAGATCAGGATACTTGATATTTGAATCAGGGACAAAACTCATGGGCTTCTGATCTTCAAAGTAGATAAAATTTGTTCCCATTCCGCCTCGGCCGCCATGGACGAATTGGAGATATTGGCAGAAGTAGTTGGGATTTGGCATCTGGATGATAGAAAGAGGGACGAACGGAGGCGCATATGGATTTAACTTGAACTCAGAGACGGCGCTTGAGCTTGGATCTTGTATTTCCTTGAACTTGGTTTGTTCGTCTCCTTCATTCTCTCCTGCCATTGCTTCTATTTACTTCTTTCCTTCTTACTGGAATGTAAGATAGTCTCTGCATTCTGTTCCTTATATATTCACTTTTTTCTCTGTGGTTTTGTAGCAGGAGGGTTTCTTGGAACAGTTATGTTAGTTGGAAGAAGGTCCTTCTTTGGCGCCAGAAAAAAGAGGCTTGATTTATGCTTTTATATATGCTTTCAAATTTGACCCGGTCCGAATTACTTCAATGGTGTTTTGGTCATTTTAAAAGAAATCTTGGATTTGTCGACCGACAGTGAGTGATGACGATGATGGATTTCAGAGAGTGGAGGTGGGCAGTGGTGGGTGACGGTCAGCAGGCGGTAACAGTGGCCGGTGGCGATCAATAGTGGGTGGCGCCGTCGGCAGGTGGTAGTGATGGTAGATAATAATAGTGGTTTCCAGTGGTGGGTGGTAGCAACCTGTAATGGAGGCGGTGTCAGTCAAGCGAGTTTGTTTGCATTGTAAATTGTTCTTGCTCAAAATTGGGCGAGTTTAGTTTATTCTATAAAATGATTTACATTATATTTAATTTAATTTTTTGCATTTCTTTTTCATCCAACCAAACACTAATATTTTTGAATTACGTGCATTTGAAATATTTTATACCACTTTACTTCCAACCAAACAGTCCTTAATGAAATCAACTCCCCATAATCCAATTCTCCCCCTCAATATCACCACATTTGGTTAAAATTTGTTGAATTCCGTGCATTTGAAGTTGTTGAATTTGATAAAAGATATGCTTCTTAATTCTATATTTTGTATATTTCACAATATCATAATAAGTATGTCTTAATTTTGGTGAAAATATGAACTAGTTATGCTTCAAGTAGCTGTTAGCCCTCACATTCATGAATTTGAATTTCTAAGATAAAAAAAAAAGAGAAATTTAAATAAAACATAACAAAGCTTTATTAGTACTAATTAATATTCTAATACTAATTATTTATAATATTTTATAATAATTATTGTTATTTATAATCATATTTAATCCTGTTAATTATTTTGAAATAATTAAGTACTTAATTAATAATTGTATTAATAATTAAATATTTTTAATTAGTTTAATTAATTATTAGATTAATTAAGTTATCCAACAATGATAAGAGGAGCTTGGCTTTTTACCTTCTCTATTTCGTTCGGCTTCTTTCCTTCAAAGCGTAGAGTTTTGCACGAGTTCTTTTTCCTTGCTGTTGGACTTTGCTCCTTCGACGACGTTCCCTTCCTGTTTGATCAGAAGTTAGGACATTTTTTTATCGGAAGCAACAACGGGAGCTCTCTTTCTTTGAAGGTAACTTTCTCCCTTTCTCCGCCGAACCAAAGGATTTCGTAAATCCGGGATTTACCACGAAAAGAGGGAATTTTCCGTCAACTGCGGCTTTGATTTACCGTGAGAGTTGGTTTTGAATTTGTTACAGTTTAGCTGGATTTAGCTCAAATCCGCTTCATATCCGGCCTAAATCCTACATCCAAACATCCCCTTCAAATACCCAAGATCCTCCTTGCCACGTATCTGTCTCTGCTTCTCTATTCTCATGAAACCATTCTCTGGCTTCTACATCATAATCATCATTCTCCTCGCTCTTATCTCCGTCTTCTGCCTCCAATCCAACTTCGACGGGCAATGGAAGTCCCCCATCCACACCTCGGACCTCCTCCCGTCGTTTGTTGGTGTCTTCTCATCTCCGGAGACTAAACTGCGGTGGAAAGCCGCGTGTTTTTACAACAATACTGCATGGATGGAGTTTCACAATAAGAGCAAGTCAACCTACGGCGGCGGCACTCTCCATATAAAGGTTGATTCCTGATCTGTTCTTTTTTTTTGTGTGAAGATTTTGGTGGAATTGGGAACTGTATTTCTTATATTTGCCTTTCAGCGGGAGATAATTAGGTTTTTGGTAGTATAGTCGTTAAACTAGATTAGTGGTATTGTTGTTGCAAGTTCTTTTAGCATGTGGGTGCTGAATTATTCGTATCAATGTTATGGGTCTTGTGGAGAATTTCAGTGATGTTATCGGATTCCCTGGTTTGTCTTAACTTCAACATCTAGATAGTACCACTTGGCTTCTGTTATCTTCATTTATTACATTGGTTAGAGTAACAATTCATGTGGAGGGGGTGAAGTACTTTTATGATCAAGTCATCTTGTAGGATTTTGGATATTGTGTGCTGCTGCTTGTAGCTCTCTTCTTTTATGAATTTGAATGAAATTTTAAGAAAAAGGCTTCTAATAGGATTAGAAGAAATCAGTTTTACCTGTACAAACATGTGACATATTCAAGCATGCGGTGCTGCAGGGTTTATATCTATCAAAGGTATTTTAATAAAATAGAATGTTCTTATTTTGCCAAGCATTTGGAGATTTTGAGGAACATATGAACTTCATTTCCTTGTCCACGCCATTATTTTGCCCCATTCTTAGGTTTCGTGTGGGACGGCTTTCTTATTGCTTTCTAAAGCAGCTTCGTAGTATAAAAATTAAAATTTTTGTACTAAGAAGCTGCTTTAAGAAACTGAAAGAAAGTCGTCCCAAACGAAGCCTTAGTCTTAGATAACACTTGGTAATGTCAGAGGACATTTAGAATTTTCTCTATAAGAACTTTATATTCCGTTGTACTAACATTGCTCTCTCTGGTTTAGGTAATCCAGATTGGAATATATATATTGTAGCTTTACATATTGATCATATGACACCTGAACTCTAGAAAATGAATTTAAGCTAGAAGACAATAATGAAACATTTTTATTGTGATTTCTAAATCATTCATGGTTAGGTCCTTGACATTTATACGCTTTTTTTTTTCCTTCATGTCTGCATTTAGGTACTACATTTATAGACCTCCCAACTTTTCACAATAGGAATCTGAGGAAAGCTTGTCTTTTGAATTTTGATTAAGTAGTCATCATCAAGCGGGAAAAAGGAAGAAGAATAGTTACATCCTTAAGGAATTGAATCATTATAATTCTTCAGGGCCTTCTAATCTGAAGTTTTTGTATCTATATTTTCTACATTTATTTATCATCTCGTACAAGTTCTAATGAAGAACAATCAGTTTATTAATGCACTCAATGCACAGTTTTCCAATCCAAAATTTCAAATATTCATAAGATACCCCAACATTCTCTTTTCATAATTTGACTAGGTCACGAATGCTCATAGCTGGACTTGTATGGATCCTTATGTTTTTGCAACTCCATACCGTGTGACATGGGATTATTACTTATTGTCTCGAGAGCATACCCTTGAGTTTGATGAGTGGGAGACTGAAGAAGAGTATGAATATGTAAGTTACCACTACAATCTATAAATTCAACTCTATGAGGAGAAGGTTTTTGCTTTATTTAGATGCTCAAATAACATTCTTATTTCATCTTTGGTGTATCTTCACTGTTTTGTGGTGTTAGGTGAAACATCATGGGGTGCCAATCTTCCTTATGCAATCAGGGATGTTAGGAACTCTCAGTGCTTTGTGGGATGTTTTCTCTTTGTTTACAAATATTGGATGGAGAGAGAACTCAAATATTGCTTTTCTCAGGAAGCATATGGATGCAAAATTCGAGGAATGGCCAAAACCATGGTTATCAAACATCAATGTTGATGAAAAGGTTGGTTCCATATATTAGCACTAGAAATTAACATTTTTCTTGGTTCATATTGCAATGAATTTGCCAATCCTAAATGGTTGGGATGTGGTTAATGATGATAATAATGATAATGATAATGCAGTGGATTCTCTATTGTAATGTATGTTCCTAATTGTTTTTGTTATGTTGATTGTCTTTTAATGGCACGCAACGTACCGACAACAATATTTCAGTTGTTAAATAGTTCAATCTATTTTAGATTGAACACTATCTTGCCAACTTTTACAAAGAGTTGTATATTTGAATGGCTATATGCCATTTTAGTGGAAGATTTGGAGTTGACAGTAAGAGGGTTCACACAGCATCACTGAAAAGTTTGAAAAATGGTTTATGTTGTCTCTCATCACGTTAATGATATCTAATACAAAGAAAGGTGTGCAGTTTGTATTGCATCTTCAGGTAATCAATAGAGCATTTGTAGGACTTCTTCAAAAATATTTTTCTATTTTTTGCAGTTGTACCTTTCTATTTATGTTTTATATATGCATAAATATTTACTATTTTTTGCAGCGATGTTTTCAGGTTTTGTTTGTTTGGTCTAATATTGCTCTAAAATCATACTTCATTTATTCATTACCATAATTGGACATGTTTAATGCATTGTGGTTGTTCATTTGTTTTTTGAAAACTAAATTAGTGGCGACCTTTATTCTTTGCATATATGTTTTTCTGGCATTGAATTGGTTTTGAACTGGAATCTATCCTTTACCATTATTTATCTCTTACATCGGTGTATGAAAAAAAATTTAATCCCACTAACTCATATGGGATCATTTATGAGTATAATGAGTTTGAAAATTTAAAAGATTGAAGATTTCAGGCCAATTTAGTTATGGCTTAAGTTTGACTTAAGCTAGTCCTTTGAGCTCAGCCAAACAACCCAATTTGACACTCTTAAGCTTGTATAAGCCCTTTTGTGTCTCCTCCTACCATAGCACATGTCATTTGCTTCTCAAGCGATTGACCTCTTTTTTTGCCACTACTCTTTACACTTCTCCGGTGATTAGCTTAATTGTTAGCCTCTGCTGCTCGTGATTACCCTAGTCAGTAGCTGTGCTCTCTGCTTCCCCTAATTGCCCTGTTTGAGCTACCGTCCTCTATGACTAAATGTCTAAATTAAACCTCTCGACATCTATTTTGGCATATCTTCGCTTAGCTTAATTTTAAGCTACATTAGTCTGTCTTTTTCAGATTATTTAGGATGTTGGATTTATTCAGATGGGAAATCAATTTCTTGTGTTGCTTTTGTCCTGGAGATCTACAAATCTGCTGGGCTTTCTGATCCTATTGCCAGCTCCATACAAGTCAATGAGTTCACGGTGAGTTAATCAACCTATATCTATCATATAAACTCAAGACAAACATATATATATATATATATATATATATATATATATAATTGTGTCGATCAATCAGCTTGGTGCTGTTGTCTTGAGCCTCAACATATGTCATGCTCGCTGCCGGGTGCGGGGGTTTCTCCCGTGCGAGCATGACAAATGTTGTGGCCCTAGGCAACAACAAAAATCTGATTGATCGACACATTCAGATTTCACAAAGAATAACAAAATTACCACTTCTCTCTCTAAGTCGTATATGAGTCGAATCAAGAGTTTTCAATTTTCATAGAATAAAGAACCGAATTTCTTTTTTGAGTAACTCATCAATTAAGTTATGATAACTTTCATTGTGCTGAATTATGCATCTCTGTTTGTTTTATATTTGAAAATAGGCTTGGAATCTGTGATTTGAGACTTGCATTTTGATAATATGTCTTCTTCATTCACCTATGGGTTATAGCTATTTTTCTCACACTAGTCTTGCCTAACTACTAGAAAAGGACAACTTTGACAATTTACTCAACTATTAAAGATGCTATGCTTGGTGCAATCTTGTGTTTAGATTGATGATTTGTCTTTTCATTCACAAATTTTATAATCTGCTGGCTCTGTATTGACAGAAATGTAGCTATCCAAATATCAATGGCTGTCGGACTTGTTCACAAGATAATCTGATGAGGTCTTTCTTTAATAGCCATGGACAGCTATCTGAACCAGATTTTAGTAAATTTTTAGATAAAGAGATTTGCTTAGGAGATTTGTGTGAAGAGATGCTTGTCAATGCAGATATTTTTGGACTTTCATCCCTCCTACGTGAGCTCATAGGTGAAGGTTCCCATAGACAATTAGTTACCACAATGGAATTATACCATCATCCAAAGTTCACTCATTTTGTTAATGAGCATTTTTGCGAGGCAATTGTTATTGAGTATCTTCCTACTGGGGTCTTTTCTGATCCCTTTGAGCTGCAACGGCTTGTCGATCGTGAAGGTTAGAAGCTTGTTTTGTCATCTTGAAGCATATCCTACTATGTAAATGTGAACTTCTTATGATTTTTGCAGTGTTTCTAAGTGCTTCTGTTTTTGGGGACACAAACCTGGAATTGCCTTATGCTCTTTCCAATATATCAGTAGTAGAGATTCACATTAATGTCAAGAGTGATGCCCAAAAAATTGTTGTTCAACTGCCACTTCATTCTAGATATCCGGTGAGTTTGAAATTAATATCAAAATTATCCTTACTTTGTTTTGAAATTTTAATAAAATCAAGTCTACTAAGAGCATCTCCAACCGAACGTCAAACATGCGTATGGCGTCGTTCGGTTGCTCCAGCCGAATGCCAAATCTTTCGCTATTTGCTTGCGTGTGAACAGTGCAACGCCAATATTGGCGTTGCACTGTTCACCTAGGCGATTTTTCTGTCTCAACTGGATTTGCCGAATAAACGCGCGAAAAAGGAAAAAGACAGTTACCTTCACAGAAGCGCGCAAAATGGAGTTCAATTGTAGATGAATCATGACATTTTTGAGTTTCACTGCATTTTGGAGTGAAAAATGAGATTTTCGGTTGAAGATCCTCTAACACTAACATTTACTTGCAATGATACTCTTACTCAAAATATATCTTTTTGACGCTTCATATATCTAACTCTACCCTCATTTTTTTCAGCCTCTTAATTCAAGTGACTACATAAACATAACAATAGGCAAACCACATTTGTTCACACGTTGCAAGCCAAAAATCTCTCAAACTGCAGACTGTTTATGGACTTTGATTGATTTGGGTGTCTTGTTTGGAAACAATGTGACATGGAGAATTCCTTGTGGAGATGCACTGCACACAAGGGCTGTAACTATTATAACTTTTATATCATCTATTTTCTGCTCTGTTTTTATTGTGTTGTCAACCATGTATCAGTCCAAGAAGGACAAAAGCAAAATGGAATAGCCATAATTTAGCACATATGCTTCTTATGTTTTGTTAGGTGTATACAACTCTCTTGATTTGGTTGGTGAAATCGTGATTTTGAATCTTTTAACAATGTTGGATGGGATGAGATTTTTGTTCAAAATGGTACTATGAGTGAAGATTAATTATTATGTGCGGACAATGGACGCCATCCGAAGGCAAATCAGAGCATTCCACGTCACCTCCTTGTTGTGTATTGCGATTGTGTACTCACAGTGTATCCGGTGACGTGGCACGCTCTTATTTGCCTCCGGACGCAGAGCTACGTCTAGTATCTACACATAATAATTTCTCATGAGTGAAAGGATGGGTTGAAGGAAAATGTTTTTTTTTTTTTTTTAATTTCAAAAATTAAGCAATATGCTTAGTGAGTTATTACACAAAAGTGCCAAGTAAAAAAAAAAAAAAAAAAACTATTGAACCTTAATCCATTAGTAATTATTTTCTTTTTTTATTATCATTGGGATAGTAAATGATTGGTCGGGTTAATTTTCTAAAGCCTCAAAATAGGTTGCTTAATGTTTATCAGATGATTTTTTTTAGAAATATTTTAGAAGTGGAAGCTTTGAGTTGAGCACAAGCTAATTTTAAATAAATAAGAATATAAATATATTAAAATCATTCTTCTAATTTACTAATAAAGTAAAAAAAATCTGAAAGACTAATTAATATTTATATATTTCAATCTAATAACCACCCAAATAAGATCTTATTATATATATATATATATATAAACTGAGCAATACAAATCGCTTATTAAATAAATGAATCAAATATAATTGTTTTAGCGAGTTGAATGATAGTTATTCGTGAACAATGAGTTTTTTTTTTGACAGATTTAATTATTTTCCTACAAATCTAGGCTTTATAATTTTATTTTGCACAAAAGAGGATACATTAAATACTAAGAACAATACACCACAAGATCAAAAAATGACCTCATAGATGAAAATTATAGTCAGAAAAATACAATAAATGATCAAGCCAAGCAAATCTAAACGAAATAAAAAAAATCCCCAAAGACAATTGGACTTAGAACGTCACTTAGTTACCAAACTTGGGGCCATCCAAGGAGGGAAATATGAAAACAACCGAGAATCCACCAATAAAGAAAGAAAGAGAATCACCTAGGTTGCCAACCAAGCCATAGCCGTCTAAGGAGCATGCATGAAACTTGCTTCATCATTATCTTGATCCGATTCCTATGCAACAATAAAAACCAATTTCAAGATCAACCATAAACCCAAAACCAAAAACTCCAAAAAGATAAATCATTTCTGTTTGGATTTGCATTTACTACACTTAACATTATTTTTGAAAAAAATCAACATTTGCAATTTGTAGGAGACTTAAATCAAAGTTGTCCCAAGCATCCAAATCTAATTCTTTAATTTCTTCCCCTCATGCTAAAGAATTGTCGTCATCTAACCAATCTCATTGACATAGAGCATTATCCTTAGCAAGGTGGGCTAATATATCAGCATTGGAGATAATATAAATAAGTACATAAACTAGAGGCACCTTAGAAGAAATGAGAGAAATATATAGCTCAGAATTCACGTCAATACCTTGCCCATCCAAAGCTCCAGCCTCCTCAGAACCTAATAAAACATAATCATTACCCGACACCTCCTCATCATTATCACAAGTAGGACTAGCTATAAGGTTAATGCAATAATTATTGTCATTCAAAGACCCACAAACAAAAGCTGAAGGCTCCAGATCCTCCCCAACAGAAACAAGAATATTCAAGTTTGAGCAACCCGCAGGTATCGGAACATTATCCAGAACAGCTGTCGGAGCATTCAAAGCATCCATAACAGCCGCAAGATCCATAAGGCCATCACCCAGCTCAGGCACCACCAAACACCCCACCTCAGAAATAGGTCGATGACCATCAACATCGGCAACAATCAATTTAGAAACAATAGGCAAATCAGAAATAATATGAATTACTTCATCGACATTATTAGAAACAATAGGGTCAACGCCAACATCATTCCCGTAAGCAACATCAGTGGGATTCAATTCCATAGCCACTTCATTGGAAACACAAGAAATAATATTATCCACCCTATCCCCCTCATAGCTAACATTAACATTCATCGGTTTAGAGACTACAGGAACATCATTAGGCGGGCAGATGACTGATGAGGCCGACAATCACCACTCAAATTCCCTATACATTTACATGAAATACAAAAAGATGGAAAACCTCCATTGTAACTTGCTGAATATTACCTAGTTTTTCAGGACCCAACTAGACTCTGTCGAGATAAGTTTTCGTGATGTCAAGCTCAACCAAAATACATGCTACAAACGGTCTAGAACCCACGAAAGTTGCATTATCAACCTTCAATGGCCTACAAAAAATCGAACCCAATCCATAAAGGATATGAGGGGATAACAGATGAGGGCAGAGATTGGAGAAAGAATCCCAAATAGAAATAACAGAAAACTCAACACCAACATCAACAAGAGGTGACCATTTTGGTCAGTTTCATATAGCAATTATTAACTAAGTAAGATCTATGACAGAAAATCCTATTATATTCAAGATCATTACTCAATTTGATCAAAATATGCGACTGATCAAGCAAGATAACAGAGATATCACCAGTTAGCTTAAGGATGAAAAAAAATCTTCAAATCGATTCCAGAGAAGGTCGCTTAGAAGAGAAAAAACCAATTAACAAAAACTAAAAAAGGAACCGCTAGGGCAATGATCTCTTCCTTTGAAATCCAAAGTGACCGCATACCACGAAAAGTAGGGTTGGGATCAGGAAATCTACCACCAAAGGAGCTACCAGCAAGAGCATCGAGAAAAGAACGAGATTATAACGAACCATCTAAGAAATCAGGATCCCACATGCGTTTCCCCGCCATTCTGGCCAAGGAGGCCGGAGGAAGCCGAAAAACGAAAGCAAAACGAAAAACAAATACACCACAATAGAAGAAGAGGGAAAATATGACTTCCCTGGAGGAATTAGGGCGAGGGCTCGAGGAGCGCTGGGATCGCGCCAGACGGGAACCCTAGCAGCTGCGGGGAGAAGTTTTTTCAAATCTAGGTTTTATCACAATTATATTGAGGATTGTTCGACTGTCTTGCATTGCAAATTAGAAAAGTATTTTCTTAGGCAACCGATGCGATGACCAACTCTAGTACTCCATTTTCGAATAAGGTGTCTTTGAAGATACATTTTCAATCTCTCCAGTGTTCTGGGTGTCAAGATCATTCTACTTCTATTTTCGATGTCATCAACACCACCTTGTCATTTCTAAACATCTTAAATTTTCTATTCTTTTTTATACATGTCCAAACTTCAATCACCCCAATCTACTTTTAATTACTTGATCTTTATTATTGTCGAGTTAATTTAACAGAGATTCCGGTTCTCCACTTTTCATAGCCCTGACTGGAGATTTCTTCACATCCAATTCCAGTTTGCAAATTACATTTCCAAATCCTCTTCCAGCAAATCGCAGAAGCAATCTTAGCAATGCCGAATGCCTGGAAGAAGGAGAAGGCATCCCCTCTTCTCCTCTCCATCCGAGGTATCTTCCTACTCCTCGTCATTCTCTTCCTCCTCATCCTCATCTTTTTCCGACCCCTCTCCTCCCAAAACCCTAACCCTAACCCCATCTCCCTCCACTTCCAAATTCCAACCCTAAACCTTCCCCATGGCCTCCCTCTTCTCCCCTTCGACTGTGCGGCCTCTCCCCAAGCCTCTCCTGTCTTCGCTGCACGCGTTGAGGGTCTTCATTACCCTTTCCTCTACTCCCTCGCCGATTTCGGATCTCTCCCCGAAAAACCCCACAAAAACATTGTTCGTATGATGAAAGGAAAGCCTTTTCGCCGCCCGGAGATCTCCTCTACTATCCAGGAGTTCCTCCAGGGGTCTAAGCCCTTCGATGGGATTGTAATTGATGTTGGAGCTAACGTCGGGATGGCGACATTTTCCGCCGCCGCCATGGGATTTAGGGTGGTGGCGTTTGAGCCAGTGTTTGAGAACCTGCAGCGGATCTGCGATGGGGTCTTTTTGAATAGAGTTTGGGATCTGGTGGTGATTTTTGAGGCAGCTGCTTCAGATCGGCTCGGGAACATCACGTTGCACAAGGTAGGATCGTTTTTAAGATTTATTGGTATTGTTTTGATATTTGGATGATTAAAAAAAAGAAGATATTTGGGTGATTTAGGATCTGCAAATGACATTTGTGAGGTGGATATGGATTGGATGTATGTTTCTCACATCGATGTCACTGGGGTTGAGTTTCCGATGGATTTGTGTTGTAATCGTTCATGTATGGAAAATAGTTTTTAGAAATTCATAAAGGGCTTTTTTGATTGATTGAAGTTAGACAACATGTTTCCATAAATTATGGAATTATTAAATCTTTGGATGTTATTAAAAGTCAATGTTGATTTCAAACTCGATAATGCTTCTCAAAACTTCTTCAAGTCTGATAATTTCATTTTTCATGTTAGTGAAAAATAAATCATCAATTTTCTTAAACATTTTTCTAGTTACAACAACCAATTGGGCACTTCGAAAAAAAGTAAAAGAGAAGTGTTATTGAGAGTTCTAAAAAAGAAAGGGATTAATAATGCGTATATTCAAGTCATTAGGGATATGTATGTTGGAGTTGTTACTTGTGTTCAAATACAAGGTGGGTTGACCAAGCATTTTCCAATTTCAGTTGGATTACATCAATGATCAGCTCTAAACCCATATCTTTTTTGCTTTAGTCATGGATGTTCTTACTAGAGATTTACAAGAGGATGTTTCCTAATGTATGCTTTTTGCTGACGATATTCTTCTTGTTGATAAGACTAAAGAGGGAGTTGAAGTTAAACTTGAATTATGGAGGTCAACCTTAGAGTCTAAAGGTTTTCGTTTAAATATTGTGGTTTGGTGTTATCCTCTACGTGATACACTGATTGAGAGTTATAAGGAGATCATTATTGTGCTGACGGTCAAAGAGTGACGACTCTATTTACTGAGCCAACGGTTTACTGACACTGATAATAACACTGAAAAATACCGTGATAGCCATAACTTCTACTTGTTTAATGTGACTACTGAAATGGAAACTCACTTTCTCATAAGCTAATGATTTGCTTCATCTATGTAGGATTGTGAGGAGACCATACACGAGGAAAAGCCTGTTGTCTAGTTTTAATCAGCATTTTCAATTTTCCTATTTTGCTAATATCATAAGCGGTTCATTTGTTCCGCTCTTTTTGAAATATGCAAGCCTGGAACTCAAATTGTGCTAGAAGATTCAACACTTTCCATACAATAAATTTAGTGTAGACAATATTTTTCTCAGTAAAGTTAAAATGAAATAACACATTCATAGAACCATTTTCTTAACTATTGGGGTCGGTTGTATGGATTTTCATTTTTTCATTCATTTGTTTAAGTATTACATGAGGTGCTAAATATATTCTTCAGAAATCATGTTGAATAACTTCCATCTATTTTACTCTATGTCAATCCAGTCTCTTTAATATTTCAACATTAATTTTATCTTCTTATTTGATTGGTCTTTTCAATCCTTTGTTATGCACGTTTGAACATCTAAGTTTATTTTCAATTAACTTATCTTCAATATATATAACTCCATCCATTCCTATAATAGAATCATTCCTTAATTTTTTCTTCTTTGTTTTACAACCACATCTATCTTATCATTCTCATTTTCATTTTCGCTATGTGAACTTGAATATTGAAGAATTTTTTACCACCCAACAGTTGGCTTCATATGATGGTTTTATATAAGTTATCTCTAAGTTTTCATGTTATTCTTTTATCAACATAATACTCTTGAGACACTTCTTTATTTTAGTCATTCAATATTAACTGTAGAAGTTCTATCATTATATTTTCATATATACATCTTCATTTTCTATATAATAGATCTAAGATACTTAAATCGATCACAAATATTACTTTATCTTAGATAAAAATATTGATTGATAATTGTTAATAATACATCCATTAATTGCATATAATTATTTCAGTATTTGTTATATTAATTTAAATTTTTTATCTTCTAGTTTTTTTAATTTAATCTAATTTTTCATTTATTTCAATGAATTTGTCAATGATTAGAACTATATTGTTTACAGAAATTATATAGGATACCTCATTCATTATATTATTCGCAAGTATGTCTTAAATAAATATCAGAAGATAAAAATTCAATGTTGATCATTGATATGATATCATTACAATTTATATGTTTTGTATAATCTCAATGTTCTATTTGAAGTTGTTACATTTGGTATGAGATATGCTTCTTAATTCATATGTTTTGTATATTTCACATTATCATAATTTGGGTGATAAAATGAACTATTTATGCTTCAAGTAGCTGTTAGCCCATCACATCCATTCTACTTCTTGATTTATCGCCATGTCGGCTTTAACCTTGAGTTTTGTTTTGCGCCAACAAACGTCGGAAGGAGGTCTGGGGAGCGGATGGGGGACTTCCATGGCCCGTCGGAGTTGGATTGGAGGCAGAAGACGGAGATAAGAGCGAGGAGGAGGATGATTATGATGTAGAAGCCAGAGAATGGCTTCATGAGAAGATAGAAGCAGAGACAGATACGTGGCAAGGAGGAATCTTGGGGCTGTTTGGTATGGGAGACAAAAAACCGTTTGCCTGGATTTAGCGTAAATCCGACTTAAATCCCGGTCTAAATCCCATACCAAACAGCCCCAAGATTCCTCCTTGCCACGTATCTGTCTCTGCTTCTATCTTCTCATGAAGCCATTCTCTGGCTTCTACATCATAATCATCCTCCTCCTCGCTCTTATCTCCGTCTTCTGCCTCCAATCCAACTCCGACGGGCCATGGAAGTCCCCCATCCGCTCCCCAGACCTCCTTCCGACGTTTGTTGGCGTCGTCTTATCTCCGGAGACTAAACTGCGGTGGAAAGGCGCGTGTTTTTACAACAATACTGCGTGGATGGAGTTTCACAATAAGAGCAAGTCAACCTACGGCGGCGGCACTCTCCATATAAAGGTTGATTCCTTATCTGTTTTTTGTGTGTGTGTGTGTTTGTGAAGATTTTGGTGGAAGTGGGAACTGTGTTTCTTATATTTGTCTTTCAGCGGGAGATAATTAGTTTTTTGGTATTATATTATTTTTTTTTGGGAAAATTTGGGGCAAAGCCTGTATATTAAATAAAAAGGATTACAAGAAGAATACAATTCACCTCATAGGATATACATGTAAAGAGCTGTGAAATCAAAAAACAGAAACACCCGTAAATCCAAAAAAGAAACACAAAAATGCCTTGGAGGGCTCAGGAAAACACCTGAACTGGTGTACAGGCGAAGCGAATTGATGTTGTACAATATTGCGGAAGAACTCCTGAGGAGCATCAAACCTGCTTATAACGAATTGGCCTCAACTTCGTTCGGCGTCAGAGCCACGTTCCCACGTTCTCTCTGCTATTTTAGTCATTGCGTTTTAGCTTTTTGCTTTATTAGCTAATTCTCAGTTTAGTCCTTAATCGCTCTTGTTTTACATCCAGCTTCTATATAGCCTGGAATAGAAAGAGAAAGAGGTAGCAAGCTTATTACTACCAAAACACTGTTCCATTGCTCTTTGGAATTCTTCTTTTGATCTTGCAGCCTTCGGTCGCCTGTTAGATTGTTTTTGTGTTGCAGGTTTACACCAGCTGGTATCAGAGCAATCTAGACGATCACTGGGATGGCCGAGCCAAGCCGACGAGCTGCTCCTGATGACGATCAAAGCCAGGATGTATGGGCTGCTCTCGCACAGATGTCCAAAGAAATCTCGGAACTCAATGCTGAGTTTCGGCGGTTCTCGGCGGAGACGAGACAGGAGATACAAACTTTGCAACAAACAGTGGGCGCAAATCACAGATTGAGGCGCGCCAGGCGTGAAGACGTCTTCCCTGATCAGCGGGGACACTTCGGTACAAACCGACCTACTGGAAGGATTCACTTCGGGAATCACGACTTCTCTGACTCAGACGATGACGATAGGTGCCGTCCAGAGTATGGTCTGATTGAACCCGACGAGCGATTATGTAATGCTCGTGGCGAAAGGCGGCAAGAGAGGGATCGTCCGCCTCCTCATCGAAGTGAGTTTCGGGTTAAGATCGATATTCCTTTCTTTGAAGGACGTCTTCATATTGAAGACTATTTGGATTGGGAACAAGCGGTGGAGACATTCTTCGATTATATGGAGATTCCCCCTGACAAACAAGTCAAATATGTCGCGTGCCGACTGAAGGGCGGTGCTAGTGCTTGGTGGCTGCAATTGTTGCAGAATCGGCGAAGGGAAGGAAAGGGGGCAATTCGAAATTGGTATCGGATGAAGCATTTGATGCGGGGGCATTTCCTTCCTACCGACTACGAGCAAATGCTATATATGCAATACCAACATTGCAATCAGGGGCCTCGGTCAGTTAATGATTACACGGAGGAGTTCTACAGGTTAAGTGCTAGAAATAACCTGCATGAATCAGACAATCAATTGGTTGCTCGATACATTGGCGGTTTAAAGGAATCATTGCAAGATAAACTCCAGCTCAACTCAGTGTGGGCACTGTCCCAAGCAGTCAATTTCGCTCTCAAGTCTGAGACTCAGCAATCCCGGCATTCTAGAAGTTATGCAAGTCGGAAACAGTTTTCAGAATCTGTAGGCGACTCCAGAATACCGAGCTACAACAAAGTCGTTTCTCCTTTAGTGCCCTCAGGCTCCCACACTAGTCCACAACCAGATCCTAAAGTGCCGCCGAAACCAAAGTTCCCTGTTCAAAACAATCCATATACTAAGCCTACTAATCTCAAATGCTTCCGTTGTTTCCAACCCGGGCATAAATCTAATGAGTGCCCCACCCGACCGCAGCTGCAAATTGTGGACGGAGAAGATGACAATAATCAAGGGGCGGCGTATGAAGACAATGAGGATTTTGTCGAAGAGGTGATACCTGATGAGGGAGAAACGGTGGTGTGCATCCTTGAACGTTTACTGTTGGCTCCACGGCAACCCACAAGCTCACAACGAAATTCAATTTTTTGCACACGATGCACGGTGAGTGGCAAGGTGTGTGACCTGCTTATAGATAATGGCT